TTTTTAAGTACCCACAGGTCAACAATCTCGGTATTAATAAGAAAAAAAGAATGTTTTATATAAATTTTATGTTTATTTGCATATTTTCGCATTGCATTAAATAAGTATATTTTTTTAATTATTTTGGTGTTTATTGCTTTCCTTAAATAAAACAAGGGCAACCTGGAAATAGTTTATTTAAAAACGTAAACATAAATAAACTCATTTGCCAGCTGAGACAGTATAACATGTATGAATGTACAATTCCCACATCGGAAAGTTCTTACAATCCGCAAATAAGAGTAAATAACATATAATAAGGATTTATTTTCAATAATATACCTAAAAGGCTACAACAAATCACGATATGAAATATAAAATAAAATCGCGATTTGTACAATTTTGTTTTTATGCATATTATATTCATGGCTTTTGCTTATTATAAAGTACGTTCTAAATCAAAACATGACTACAACACATTACATACAGCTAACGGTACCTTATGTGATAAAATACAAGGCAAGTGTACCCTAAAATTAGCAAAAAACTGAAATTTACTTAGATGGTATTGATTAGTACTAGCACAAAGTAGAGATAAAATGTTATACATTTATATATCAAAGAAAATGAAAAATTACAGGTAAAATAAACCAAACAAGGAGGATGGAATTTAATATTTAATCACAATTTTGTTGCTCAATATGATAAAGTCTTATGTGTTACGGATTTTACCTGGTACATAATTTTTGTCAATCACTTGCTCTTGCAAAAACATATGCAAACAACGTTCATTTTGAGCCAGTGGATGTCCTGCAATTCTGAAATTAAAAGCATTTAATTAACAATTATAGTGAGGTACAAAGCATCATTAAAGGAGCATTTTCAAAGCTTATCAGTAGTTTGCAACTAACTGTGTGTGTCTAGGTACAATAATATTTTAAACACAATCCTTAATTATCTTTAATTCAACTAGTATGGTAGTTCCTAAGATCAACTTTACATAAATATGAAGTTATTCATTATCTACTAATTGTTAAAGTACTTATTTTTTGAAACTCCACTTTAAAAAATACAAATGAAAAGTAATAAGTGTCGAGTTTCAAAGAATTTAATAACTTATCGATACATGTATGTCATCACCTAATGAAGCTATAGCATAGTCAAACAATTATTGTTCTTATTAATGTATTTGGATCTCAACTTACTTGTTGATAAAAACTTCAAGTCCTTTTCTTCTCTCTTCAATAAAGTCTTCTTCAAAAATTCCATCATCCCCACGAAACGGCAGCTGTCGTTTCCATGCCTTTCCTGGTAAGGGTGGCACAACAATTTTACTATCACGTTCCAATTCGTTTCTTAACCATTCAAAATCACTGTACCTTCGTCTAACGCTTGATTCTTTGACTTTAAAAACAGGCAAGTTTGTCTGCAATAAAGGGGGTGTATGCACTACATTTTAGGATATTTGTGAACATGCTTACTTTCATTTTAACCTCATAATCCGTAAATCTCTTTTTTCCAACCCCATATGCTGTTACTGGATTGACCACGTCTATTTCAAGAAAATTAGCGGGTGCTGCGTAAGCATCATCCAAAGTTTGCTTCTTAACATTAAGACGTCTAGTGGCTTCTGTTGTTTCTGTATCCGCCATCATTCTAGTAGTTATCGCTAATATCAATAAATAGCAATAAAAACAGTTATAATATCACTGCACAACGATTTTCTAAATATTTATCATATAACTTTTTTTAATTATATTTTTATTATCTAATTATTAGCTCTTATAGTGCTTCCCTTAAGTTTCATATTGTAAACTGTCAAAGGTCAAACGTCAGAAACAAACTCAATTATCCATGATTAAATAGAAAAACCATAATTTTTTTATGTAGATTTATCATTTTACACTGATAAAGGGTGTTCTCTACAATAGATTTCTTTTTTCATTTTTGTATTAAAATTAGGTGGATTTGAGAAATTTCGTATTATTTGAATAGTAATCTAATAAAACCATTGTTATTCTTATCATGCTAAATTTTATGTTTGCGAAAAATTACTGCTACTTATAAAAATCTCATCTCCTATTATTAACCGCATACTTTTTTTTAGTATACTTTGGCATTATTATTTCTTTGATATGTTTGCTTATGATGTATATTTTTAACTCCTTGGTTTTTAAAATAGAATTTAAAAGTGGCGGTAAAGTATCTATAATAATTTTGTACTTTGTCATACAGAAAAAGAAGAAGAAAATCATGGGACTCTTATCTATGATCAGAAATGGGTCAGAAGAAGATGAAGAAGAGGTAAGAGGGATGAGAGAATATGCTCGAATAGGTATTTTTAGTAGTAAATGTGGTTAACAAGCGATTGTGGTCTTTGTTTGGTGTAATTAAAAGTGAAAATCAATACGAAATAAACTTACGTAAACTACATTCGTAATTGACGTGGTTTAATAACTGTAATATTGCAAAAGTTATTTAACAAGTGACTGCGTACCGTGCGGGCAAATTACTGCCACGTGTAAATATTGTTTGTGTTATTGACTTATCATCCTGGAGCTACCACAGGATATGCCATGAAAATAAATGAAAGGGTAAGTTTATTTTAAATTTTGTATGCTTTATTTATGATGATGAAGGCAATTTTACAATTTGCGACTGATAAAAAATTTTTGGCCCCAATGGTCCTAATTTACACTGCTATGACAAGGTAAAAAAGTACCCATCTGGACTAGAACTGACTGAGGGGCTTCTAGAGCTTATATAAGAAAATATAAGAAAACTTTAATTTGTTTCATAAATTTCAATAGGCAAATTTTTATTCAATGGCCTAACCTAGAATCCCTTTGTAGATCTATTATCTATGCCTAGAATTTATGTCATGCTTGTATATATAATAGCGGCGGGAACAAATATAGTAATTAAATTTAATTACAAACGGTGAATAAGTTTCTTTCATAATGAGTTTATGGGCGGATAAATATAGACCTAAAGACCTTCAGAAGTTGGACTATCATAAGGAACAAGCAGCTAATTTGTCAAAGTTAACCCAAGAGGGTGATTTTCCCCATTTACTTTTTTATGGTCCCTGTGGCTCAGGTAAGAAAACAAGAATGATGTGCTTATTAAAAGAAATGTATGGCCCAGGGGTAGAACGACTTAAAGTGGAAAATATGAATTTTACGACACCTTCAAACAAGAAACTAGAAGTTACAACTGTTAGTAGCAGTTATCACATAGAAGTAAACCCTTCGGATGTGGGAATTTATGATCGTGTTATAATAATGAATTTAATTAAAAATGTAGCTCAAACTCAGCAGTTAGACATAAATGGGCAAAGAGCATTTAAAGTCATTGTTCTAACAAATGTTGATGAACTAACTAAAGATGCTCAGCATGCTTTAAGAAGGACAATGGAGAAGTACATTTCAACATGCAGGTAGTTTGATTATTTTGATCTAATGATGGGGTCAGTTAGGTTAATCATACCTTTTTTAAGATTGCTTTTGTGCGGCACTTCTATTTCACGTATTATACCAGCCATTCGCAGTCGTTGCTTATGCATAAGAGTTGCTGCTCCAAGTATTGAACAAATATCCACAATTTTACAAACCATATGTAAAAAAGAAGGTCTCACTTTACCTCTAGAGTTGGCGGATAGGATTGCAATTAAATCCAACAGAAATCTCAGAAGAGCACTTCTTATGTGTGAAGCTTGCAAAGTAGAAAGTTATCCTTTTACCCCTGATCAAGAAATTGAAGAACCAGATTGGCAGATATTTATTAAACATATTGCAAACAAAGCTATTAAAGAACAAAGTATTTCAACATTAGCAGAAATTAGAGAGCGCTTCTATGAATTAATTATACATGGTATTCCCAGTGATATTATTTTTAAGACTTTGTTAAAGGAGTTGTTAAAAATTTCTGATCCAGAAATTCATCCACAGATTGTTGAAAGTGCTGCATTTTATGAGCATCGTTTACAAACTGGCTCTAAAGATATTTTTCATTTGGAAGCATTCATGGCAAAGTTCATGTGCATTTATAGCCAATTTCTGGGAGAATTTGTAGATATTTGTTAAGCTTTGCTTTTTCTTTTGGTGTAATGAATCTCTTTATGAAATTGAAACAACTTGATTTTTATTTAGCATCCTTTTTTAAGTATATTTTTTTACAAACAAGTGATATTTGTGAAAAACAATAAGAAAACAATGAGCTAGTTATCAAAATATAAAACGTGTCACAAATGTAAAAAAATTGGGGGGGGGGGTTAACAAATAAGAAAAAATATTTGCTTGTAAAAATATATTTTCTGTTTTTATAAAAATTTACATCAATAATTCTATTCGTTGAACAACTCTGCAGCAAAATTGTTGTTAAAATTATTTCCTTTAACTAATTTCCAATGTTGAAAGGAAAATAAAAACGTACATGGTAGCATTCTAAAATTTCCCTTGTCCGATTTTATTATCGAATCCTCCTCTACATCCTTAAAGATGTAATCAATATTAAAGGTATCCAAGTGTAATTTTTCTAACGAAATTCGGCAACATCCATCGTCAGGTTTTCTTCGATAAAGTGAATACACAATATCATTACACAAAACTGATTCCATAGAGTCATAGCTTTGTGTCGTAATTACTTTTGAATTAACCACGTTTAATGAGAAACCCTTTAGCTTCGTTTCGATTAAATTTAAACCTAAAAACCCTCGAAATATATTTATTTGTTTAGATATTAGTAAAAGCTTTAAAGCTGTTCTGATGAAGTTTTTATAGTTCAAGTTTTGGTAAATATTTATATTTACCTTTAAAGTATAAGCTGTCTTTATGGGAGAATATCGTAAATATATCAAAAAAAGATGGAATTGATTCTTCTCCATTTATATTTATTTGTATCCACTGCGATGTGTCATTGTTAAAAAAGTAACCACATTTATTATTCACATTTAACAAGAACAGTTTATTTTTAAAAGCACAACATTTAATTTGTCTTCCTGGACAGGGAAGCATTATCACCTTGCTCCATAAATCTTAAAATTTAATTTGTAATTTATTATTTTATTTTGTGTTATTATAAAAAGTCTAACCAACCAGTTTTATANAAAAACAGTCCTCATGGAAAGTATATTAAATTACCAAATTTTAAACGTTGTAAACATGGTGTGTATAACGTTAAAAAGAAAGTTAAGAAGAATCTCGAAAGAAGATGTACTACGAAAAAGAACTGCAATTCTAACGAATTAGTTATAAAGGTAATTATACATATGCTAAATATGCAAATAAGTAGTTTAATTTTTAAGGCGTGGTCGTACAAAAAGTCGAGTCAGTCAGATTTTAATTTTCTTTTTTAAAAAAGTCGAATAACACATAATCAAAAAAGTGTGGTGTTTACAGTATTAATTAATTAATAGAAGTAATTTTCTAAAGGATTACTTTAAATAAGTAATTTTTAAATTTCTTCATAATATACACTGTATTCACCTTTTATTATAAACAAACAAATTCAATTTTAGAGTTTGGATGGTGCTTGGGATAGTTCATCAGACGAAGAAAGCACAAAAAAGAAAAACCCGAAATGTAAAAGACATCCTCGGACTCCAAAATATTCACCTCTTACGGTAGTAATTAATTCTCCTCTTAAATCCATACACAAAATTTCGAAAACACCAGAAGATGGTAAAAGTAAAAATAAGTAATTTATGTTTCTATTAATGAAAAATACTTTTTAGATTCTGAACAAGTGATTTCTTCTAAAACCAATTGTGCCACGTAAGTAAAGTATTACTAACATTTACTTTTTTGAATATTAAATTTGTTTGACACTAATAATTTCAACCGAAAGTGTTTTTTATATTTTTTAGTACGAAAAATAAGAAATTGTCACAAAATCTAGAACAGACTTATAGCGAGGAACATTTGGAATGTCGCTATAGTCTTTGTAATAAAAAAGGGAGAATACCAAATGTTTTGGAATCCAGTAATAAAGAAAATTCAAATCAGAAAATTACTTCTTCTAAATTAGGATCAACAAAGTTGTCTCATAATTCTTCGTCACATATTAAAAAAGAAATAAGAAATAAAACTGTTCCAGACAAATCCGGGAAAAATACTATTGCTGTAGGAACTAATAATAGAATATTTTGTGACAATGTCAATGATAACATCAAACATAAAGATTTGGAGGACAATTCTGCAAATGAGATTGTAGAATCCATCGAATTAGTTGAAAATATTGTTAGTGACAATGTTTTAAACAATTCCACACTTTATGATAAGCAAAACAATTACGAACCTGTAGCAGGAACTTCAGATAATCTTAATAATTCATTTGACTACTTTTCTAATACAATTTTATCCCAAACAAGAGTGTTTTTAGAAGAAGAAGAACTCTTTTCTACTTCTAACACCCTGACGCATTCAGAAGTTGATGAAAATAAAGCGCCTTTTTCGCAGTCTTCGTCAACTTCCTCAAGCAGCATAACACCATATCAAAAACCATTACAAGACAGTTCATTTTCGAAATTTTCGCAACAGTTAAGTCTTTTAGAATTCGATAATACCCGTAACCAACAAAATAACTTAACACAAGACGATTGTAAAGTAATTATGCCGAAATTTAATCCTCCTACTAATCAAATGGTTCTTTCTTCCATGCAAGAATTTAATATTCCTTTAATGAGGCACCAAGAGCCTTACTATAGCAACATTTTTGATGTTACTGGTACTGTTGAAGTAGGCCATAATTCGTTGAAAATATTAAGTAATAAATCCTCTGACTTTCCAATCTTTGAACATGCAAGCATGGAACGGGGTTTAGAATTTTTCAGGAAAAATGCGAGTTCTTCCTTAGTGAAAGGAATTACAGTAAAAGATTTTTCTAAAATAAAATTATCACTTTGCACGTACGAGGATTGCCTAGTAACCCCAGCAAAGTTGCCACCTACCAGAAAAGAAGTAGAAAATTGGCTAAAAAATCAAAAAGATAAGGTAAACAACATTACCCCAAAAAAGAAGAAGAAAAAGGTTTTGGTACCCTGTAGCCCTGATAATGAAAATGACAGTCAAGATGAATCGTTGACACTGACCCCTAACACACCACTTGAATTGAGAATGGAAGACCTTAATCAAGCCTCAAACGCATTTGAAATTGAAAACGAGATGACTCCAAAGAACATGGAAAATAAAAAAAGAAGTCTTAGCCTCTCTTTAGATCAAAAATCAAAGAAACGTATAGAAAAGAGTAAACTTATTGACAAATTTAAAGATAAAACTGAACATATTCAAGAAACAACTAATGAGAAATCATTGGAATCTACTAAGGAATTTCAGTCGTCAGATGATTTCAGAAAAACTTTATTACGAAATCAGTCTTTAAATTTTGCTGATTCTCGTCAAATTTCAAATGCCACATTAAACAACACATTTGGGTTCAAAATGTCGTTAGAAAATCTTCAAAAAGCACGCGCTGTTGCAGAACATCAATTTATAACGCTACTTGCTATGGAGTTACACACAAAAACTCGTGGCGACTTTAAACCGAATCCCGAATATGATCCAATAAGGGCAATTTTTTACACAATATTCAATGACGTGCCTGATCAAAATAAACGAATAACGACAGGAATAATAGCCGTAAAAGTGGAGAATAATCTCAGAAATCGAATAGAGTTATTAGAGCAAAATGTTACCATAAAACATGTCGATACTGAACAAGATCTTATTAACGACTTCGCTGATCTCGTTAGAACAACAGATCCTGACATAGTTGCCGGTTATGAAATAGAAATGCAATCTTGGGGTTACTTATTTGAAAGAAGTTACAAACTTAACATCAACCTTAGGCCCTTGCTATCACGATCTTCTCTTGAACTTAAACATTCTGATGATGAACAACAAACAGAATTGAATTTAACAGGAAGAATTGTTTTAGATGTCTGGAGACTATTAAGACATGAAATAGCACTTCAAAGTTACTCTTTCGAAAACGTTCTATACCATGTAATGCACAGAAGAGTTCCTAAATTTTGCTACAAAGATCTTACATTCTGGTGGGAACATAAATCATCCCTTTTCTATAAGAGAACTATAGATCATTATTTGTACCGGGTACGAGGAATGTTGGACATTTTGGAGCAACTTGATATTGTAGGAAGAACTAGTGAATTGGCAAGACTTTTTGGCATCCAATTTTATGAAGTTTTGTCGCGTGGATCTCAGTTTCGTGTAGAATCTATGATGTTGAGACTGGCAAAACCCCTTAACTATATTGCTGTGTCTCCCAGTGTTCAACAAAGAGCGAAAATGAATGCCCCGGAGTATTTACCGCTTATTCTGGAGCCTCAATCCAGATACTACGCCGACCCTGTTATAGTATTGGACTTTCAGAGTTTATATCCGTCCATGATAATTGCTTATAATTACTGTTTTTCGACCTGTTTGGGAAAAGTTGAACGATTGGGTAAAAATATACCATTTGAATTTGGGGCAACACAATTAAAACTATCTAGAAACAGGCTTAAAAAGTTGGTGAAAAATGACGCCCTTAACATTTCACCATGTGGAGCGGCTTTTGTTAAAGAATGCGTAAGGGAAGGTATACTTCCTAGAATGTTAAGAGAAATCTTAGATACAAGACTAATGGTTAAAAAGTCGATAAAAGAAAATGCTGGTGATAAAACGTTACAGAGAGTGCTTCACAATAGACAACTCGGTCTAAAATTGATAGCCAACGTTACCTACGGTTACACTGCGGCCAATTTTAGTGGACGCATGCCGTCCGTCGAAGTAGGAGACAGTGTTGTCAGCAAAGGACGAGAAACACTGTTAAGGGCCATAAAATTAATCCAAAGTGTTCCCGAATGGGGAGCAAAAGTAATTTACGGGGATACAGATTCAATTTTTGTTCTCACACCAGGCCGAAGTAAGAAAGATGCATTTAGAATAGGAACGGAAATTGCCGATGCAGTTACCAATGACAATCCGAGCCCTGTTAAGTTGAAGTTAGAGAAGGTATTTCAACCGTGCATATTACAAACGAAAAAACGATATGTTGGTTATATGTACGAATCACCAGACCAGAAAGAACCTGAACTTTGTTCAAAAGGTATTGAAACCATACGTCGAGATGGTTGTCCAGCAGTTTCAAAGGTAAAACGTCTTCTTTTTCTAATTCAATTTTTAAGGGTAATTTGACAATTAAAGTATCTACTACACTCTAATTTATATAATTCAGATTTTATAACTTAAAAGTAGTATTATAAATATAGTCTTATTAAGTACATTCTCTTAAAGATTCTAGAAAAATGCTTAAAAATCCTGTTCGACACTCAGGATGTGAGCCTAGTTCGTCAGTATGTTGTAAGACAATTCGTCAAACTGTTTTCTGGACGTGTAAGCCTTCAGGATTTGACTTTTGCTAAAGAATACAGAGGTGAAGGGGGTTACAGACCTGGTGCTTGCGTGCCCGCCTTGGAGCTTGCTAAGTAATTATTTTCATATTAAATAACTTATAAATTATGAACTTAATAAATCCTTCAACTTCAGAAAGTGGAAAACTATAGATAAACGTAACGAACCTAGACGCAAAGAGCGTGTACCGTACGTAATTATCAACGGTCCCCCGGGACTTCCCCTAATAAAACTTGTCCGCTGCCCACGTGAGCTTTTAGCCGATTCCAACTTACGTATAAACGCTTTATATTACATTACCCACGCCATTATCCCTCCTTTAAATAGGTGTTTAAATTTAATTGGAGCAGATGTTAATATTTGGTAAAAAGGAAATATTATTAGATAATTAAAATATTTGAACAATTTTTTGAACTTTTAGGTTTAAGGAAATGCCACGAAAGCAGGTTCTGTATCTTCCTACTTTTTTCAAGCAGGTTCCTAAGAAGAGCACAATCTCACAGTATTTTTTTACCACCACTTGTGTTAGTTGTGGTGCGCATGCTCAGAATGGACTGTGTGACAAGTGCTTGAGTTATCCGACTGAGACTATGGTTGTTTTGCAAGAGAAATTGAGAAATTGGGAAAAGAATTACCAAGAAACATTACTGGTAAGATTCGTTTTATAAATTTTATATTTATTAACAATCATTTTTTAATAATAATATTCGTTGAGTAACAAGTAAAGAATTGATCAATATAGTAGCTACTGTTGAAGGTGATTAATGTTTCCAAAAATTTCAAACGAAAATGTGTGGTGATCTTATGTACTGTTAGTGATTAGTGCTATGTAGTTTTTCAAAAATTGAATTTTAGATTTGCCAGTCATGCTGTAAAAGGTACGATGGTAACGAATGTATCTCCCTAGACTGTCCTATTCTTTATAGATTAAATCAAACACATAAAGACTTACAACAGGCTCCGTTTGTACGGCAACTTGTTTCAAAGTCATTTGATAACGATAGTTGTGATTTTTAGTATTCTTTAG